AGCCCCGGGGGCCCCGACACCGCCCGGGTGTCCGCCGCTTCCCCCGGCCGAGCGCCGTCAACCCCGGCCACCGGGCCGCCTGCTCTGCTGGCGCTCAGGGCTGAGCCCGAAAACGCCCCGCGGGCGAGTGAAGCAACCGCACGCCGAGATAGATTTCTAAATTTTATTATAAAATAAAAGCAGAAATATTTTCCAAAGAATGTATTCACATAATATAAACAATGAACAAAACTAAGGTGAGTGACTTGCGGTTGATACTGTCGTTTAGGTCTAAACTTGAGCAGCAATTCCTCTTTTTTTTTAAAGCCCGCTCCTGCCCTCGTTGCACACCGAGGTGCGAATCTGCCCCGGCCTTCCTCTGGGGCCGGAGCCGGGCCATCGCTTCCTTTCCCACCCAGCAAATGGCGAAAGCACCACATGGACAAGGCCAAAGAAGTCGTCTCTCTGCATAGCATCAGCTACAAGAAGGTTACAGAGTCTGCCTAGAGCGCGTGTTGCTGCTATAACTTGACTACAACTTTTGTATTCTTAGTTGAAATTGTACATCGTACACCTGCCACGGATACATAACTACAATAGAATAACGGGAGCGATGTGTAACTTCCAAACAGGCATGGAAGCAGCGGCCTTGCGCTCCCCTTTCCTCCCCACCCCCCGAAAATAAAAGATTACAATGTGCCTCTTCCCACACAGACCGGCCCGATCGAGTGACACCACCGAGAGATTCGTGAAGTTAAGGCTGGAAAGAGCTGCTACACCGAACTGCCTTACAGCCTGCCGTGAAAATCACAGCTCCTGTCCAACAGTCCTTACACGCCTGAGACCACCTTTAAGCAACCCTTAAGGCTTTTCACAACATCACTACCCACAGCCGAGTCCGATACCTTCCAAACCTGCAGCCAGCCTGCTGCCAAAGGGCACAACACGTCCACTAAGGAGTTTGTCATCGCTTTCAAAGTCTCTGGTAGGATTAAAAGGGGGGGGAAAAAAAAAAAGGAAAAAAATAGAGTAAAGGAGGTCTGGTGCGAAGGAGGGAGTGTGTACACGGTTTTAAGAGCCCAGATCGACCAGGTTGGATGACATGGGGTTGAGGATGGAGTCCTGCAAGCTGTGGTGGTGCATGGGGTCGGTGCTGGGCACGGGGATGGCGCTGGGGCCCTGGGGGTGGCCCAGGCCGTGCAGGGGCTGCAGCCCGGGGTTGGAGCTGAGCAGCAGCGCGGGGCTGGAGGAGGTGTGATCCGGGGTCCCTGACGGCGTCTTCTCGTCCTCTGAGCTCCCCAAAACTGTCTTATTCCCGTTCATTGACGCCGAGAGCGGGTTGTGGCTGTTGGAGTTGGAATTCTCGTTGTTTTCCCTATAGGAAACACAAAAGAGGGAGGGAAATCACCGTGTGGCCGCCGCTCCGGGGCGCACACCGCAGGAGCGGG